CAGAAAAATACTATTTCACCTTCCCAAATTAACAACTATTTACACAGCTGAGTTATCCACTACCCTCAACGCAATAAAGTTTGTTTTGCATTCAACGTAAATAAATAATGCTAATAAAGGCTAAGCGCAATTTTAAACCGCGTCCGCTTACCCCCAAAAACGTAATTTTTCGTTTCTATTATTTTTAGGTAGTATGCAATCAACTTAAAATTTAAAAAAAATTACAGGTACAGTTGAGGGTTTTACAAAACCTGTCTAATTTTTATAGAGTCGTATGTTATTTTTTGTAAAAAGCGTGTAACTTTTAAAGAGGTAGGGGAGGGTAGTACACAATGAGACAAAAAAACACATTTTTATGTATGACATTGACATTTTTGAATTTTTCTACAAACTGAGTTAACCAGGCATCAATATGATTATTTCCTCAATATAATCTGAAATAAATATTCCCTCATGAGTGAAGAAACAAAATCTATGATTATTTTGCTAACCGTCTACATCTGTCTCATTGTGTACGATTTATGATACACAATGAATCAAGTGGTATTATTTCAATAATTTGTTAAAATAAATACATAGAGTATAGTTTTTATTATTAATAGCAATTTTACATTTATAATAGAAAAACTGAAACGAAAGAAAATTTTAACGGATCTTAATACAGTCAAACTTTACATCAAATTTGAAATAAGATGCAAGGCGCTTGTTTTCTTGATCTACATTTTTTGGTTTTGGTGGAATTGATACAATGTCTTACCTTGCTACTGCAGCAATGTCTTCAACTAAAGGAAAAATAAAGCAGACTTGAAGCTTACCACTTTTTCTTAAAAATGACACTTTAAATTCATTATCGTCTAATGTCTTGAGAACTTTGGCAACATAAAATATATTGTTTTCAAATTTCACTAATACAAAATTATCAATGAAAATTTCTGTACTAGTATCAATGTCATAATCGTCTTCCAACTGTAAATTTTCACATTCATCGCCAGAAGAATCATCGTAATTTATTAGTTCTTCACCCTCCTCGGATGAAGTGCTATCACTTCGTTTATTTTTTTTCTGCTTTGGTACCTTATTTAAATTGACCCTAATTCGTTTATTATTCTGAGGAGTCATTTTTTTGGTTGTTGCTTGTAGTTTTAACTGATCCAAGTCAGGTATGTTAATTAACATTGCACTCTTTTTAGTTTTCCTTGCCGTTCCCCTTTTTCTCTTCTGCTTTTAGAAATCCTTTAAACTCATGAGGGGAGATAAAAGAACTTGAATTTGCAAATGATACTATTGATTTAGAGTTTTGAGACATTATCGGTGTTTCAGGTCCTTGGTGGGGATACTTCTTGATTTTCAGGTGTCTTCGATGAGAATAATATAACTTGATTGGAAAGCACACGAAACATTTCTGTCGACTCTGGTTATGGATTTGGCTGTTCAGTTTTATTTGGTCTATCAGTCACAGAACTGTCAATGAAGTCAGCTTCAAAAAAGTGTCCGTTTTATTAAAACCTGACAGAATATTAGTAGGTGTTAATGCTTTCATATGTGCCTCTTCTACACATTGTGCTATCTGGTATATTGAAATAGGTTTACCAGGATGGTTCAGCAACCATGAATCTATAGCAGCATTGTAGTATGCTTTGAAGGGAGAGAAAATTGAAACATCAAGGGGTTGCAGTTTGTTACTACAATGTGGAGGCAGAGTCAGTATGATTGTTGTTGCAGTCCAGAACTGTTGCTAAACTTAATGAAATGTTTCATAACGTCAATAAACAGCTCGGTATTCATCCATCCACTTGGATTTGCCAAACCCAGTGTGCCAGGTGGAGCTCCTCGTGTCATATGCTCCTTATAATATTTCCTTGGAAAAACCATAACAGGAGGCAGAAACGTACCATTCGCACATACAATTGCACATGTAGTAATAAGAATACCCCTTTCACCGCTTGTACAACGATTCAGCTGTTTTACACCTTTCTCCGCCACGACTTTCTTAGGTTTCTGCACTGTTGTTGTACTAGTCTCATCAAGGTTATATATCCTGATATTAGACACAGCTAATGGATATCTAGAATAAACGGCATGTAAATTGTCGAAGAACTTGTTGACATTGTTTGGATTAAATGATGTTAATCTTGATAAACTGCAACCCTCTGGTTGACGTATACTGAGGTTCCCACGCCTATTTAAAAATGAACGGAACCATTGTAGTCCAGCTATTTTACCTTTGATCCAAATCGTTGGAACAAGAATATTGTTTTTAATTGCCATGTCATATGCTAATTTTCGTGATTGAATGGTTGTTAATCCGTAGCTCATTTTGCTACAAGTTTTGATATAGTCACACACAGAAATTTCCTGTTCCTCTGTAAACACACGTCGTACAGCATAATTGGGTTCCATTCGATCATCATCTGGATTAGAACGTTTTGTGCGACATATCTTTGCAATGTCTAAAATTTTACTCCGTTTTCAACGGCAGCAATTCTTAATGATTTTCCGTCCAAATCATCTTGTACGGCACTTGTCATATCATCGGAGCTGAATGTCGCTCGACTCCTTGGTTGTTCCAGTGCAATTTTTCTACTTTTTTATACTCGTAGGTTGAGTGTACAGAACTTAAAAAAATCCATTTTTTTTTTCGGAAAAAGTGCATTATTTCGCGGTTCTATTTTTTTTTTATTTCATGTATTTGATAGAAAACTATATCTCTGATTTTTTCAGATATTTCTGTATGGCGCGCCATATTTAAAAATCCTAAAAACTGTTTTTAGCGGATTAGATATTTTTTGATGTAGGTATATAAAATGAGAAAAAATTACCGAAAAATCCCCTAATAAACAGTTTTTCGGATTTTTTGAGATGGCATCATCAAAAAAAGTTATAAGCTCCTTCTAAAAAAAGTCTAAAAAATGCACTGTTAGGTTATGTACCCTCAATCTACGGATCTATAGAAAATATACTAAATGTTTTTTAAAAGTCTCAACTATACGTGTGAATTTTTTGAAGTTTTTGAATTGATGACCCCCTACCGAAAAAAAAACCAAAAATATGACGTTTTTGAGAGAGAGCGGGTGGGAGGCTGAAATTGTACGACTGTAATTGTTTAATTACATATGATTACAAAAATATGATTAACCTCGCAAAAACTCTTTAAATCCTTGAAAAAAACATATATAACATAAAAAAACATTGATTTGATATATTTTGAAGTCTATAACATGGAGAAGATCCTAAAAAACCCTTAACAGTTTTCAGATTTTTAAAGATAACGCATCATACGGAAAAATCTGAAAAAGAAACAGAGATAGTTTTTAATCCAATATACAAAATAAATGAGAATTGGACTGGCATTTAAAAAAATGTATACGCCTATTTTAAAAACGAACGCATCTTTGGGTCATGTGTACTCAGCCTACGGGTCTATATGTATATAACAATAGACAAATTGAGCTGTCATATTTTTAAATCACATAAAAAGTGATCTGAAAAAAATTAACTAATATGATTAACAGTAAGAGTTATTGGGGGCTTTAAGGGTGTTTGGCGAAATTTTTTAAAATGTTCTAAACACCGTATTTAATTTAAAATATTTATTGTCTATAAAAAACCATAATTTGGTCTATTTTGAAGTCTATAATATGAAGACAATTCTAAACAAAAAAAAAAATTTGGATTTTGAAAATGACCCATCTTAAAATAAAATCTAAAGAAAATAAATCAGAAATATAAATGTTGATCAAATACACAAAATAAAAAAATTGAACCTGCAGCGACCAAAAAAAAAGTTATATACGCTTTAAAAAAAAATGCATTTTTGATTATGTTTACTCAACCTGCAAGCCTATAAAACGTAGACAAGTTTATTAAAAGCGTCAACAATGCGTTTGATTTTTTTATTGCATCCCACCTAAAACAAAACCAAAAAAAACGAAAAATTGACGTTTTTTGATAAAAATTGACAAAAAAAATTGAATTATATTGAGAGTATTTTGCCTATATTAACAGGGGTTGCCTATTTATTACGCATTCAATAAGTTCTATAACTGCCTTAAATAACTAATATCCTCGCCATCCAAATCTACTACTTATCAAATCTTAAATTAGCATTAAACCAACTGTAACCTATGAACATAAATGACAACTTTTTGTGGACTCCTTTACATATCGAAATTGTTGGTAATGAAGAAGTAGATTCCTTGGCAAAACTATCAGTCTTGAGTCCAGAACCTGTAGAAACCAAAACCATTTCACATCTAGATGTAAAATCTATAATCAAGAACTTAACAATCAATGCTTGGCAGACCAAACGGAATTAATCAACATCCAAACTACGAGAAATAAAACATTCGATATTTACCTTGGAAATAAACCCCAAATAAGCGTTTACATCAAACCATCCTATCTCGTCTGAGAATATGCCACACCGCTATCCTCATAAACATCTGCTGGAGAATGAATTAAAACCACAATGCTACCTATAAGATACTGTACTCAGTACTCACCATATTTTACTGCAGTGTCCTTTATATTCCATTTAGAAACTTGAATATAAACTACAAGATACCTTACAAGCATTATTAAGTGACGGAACTGATACGAAAAATGTGTCATCATACTTATAAATATTCCATAAATGTACTAAATAAATGGTAAAACTTTAAATTGTACTACGCCAATAACACTTTGAGTTTGAGGCATAAATAAATTAAAAAAAGATTCTTTGTATTTTTTGTTTAAATACAATAGCTAAAAACTTTAATATCTTGTACAACTACTATAAGAAAATTATGTAATTGGGTATCTTAAAACATCTGGACGCTTAAACTCGTAAAATTATCAAAAAGACGATTAGTGAAGTAGTCCCTGACACAGAATTCTTATTGATAGCCCAGTACCCAAGTTGTGGTAGCTTAAAATCAACAAATGCGAAGCAAGTTGATAAGTAGGTTTATATATCATAAATAAAATTAAATTAACTATAACAAAAGCATACTAGTTGTTCCTTATTATTTATTAATTTCTAAAAGATATTTTTTACCAGATTTATTTAATAGTCCTGCTTCCAGCGCTTCTTGGAAATTATCTAAACCCACAGCACGAAAAGGTGGTATTTTCAAATCACCATTCATAAACATACATATCAGTTCATCCAACATTATATCCCTTTCTTTAATGTCTGATTTGCTATTCCAGATATTAACACTAAACCCTACGAAACTAATATTTTTAAATATTAAAGCAGACACAGGTATTTTTACAGGTTGCATGGACATCCCACCATAAGTCACTAGAGTACCATTTTGATCTAACTTTCTTAGTAATTCGGTGGAACTTTGACCACCAACACAGTTTAGAGCTAACTTTGGTTTTGCTACTGTTTTTGATTTGAAAATATCAGTAGTGCGTAATTCTTCTTCTGTTAAGACGTGTGTAGCACCAAGTGTTTTTAATTCTTGTTTTAACTCACTAATATTTGGTCTATCTCTAATAACATTTACTGAATTAATACCCCACATTTTGCAAAGTTGTAGGACTAATTGCCCGCAAGAAGAATTTGCTGCATTTTGAATCACTGTATCACCTTTTTTTAGCTTAACAAAATCTTTTAACATTCTGTACGCTGTAGGAGGATTTGTCATAAGAATAGCAGCTTCAGCCACAGGTAGACTATTTGGTACCTTTTTAATTATTCTTTTAGATAACACCATATGTGTCGTCCAGGTACCTAAGTTATATTCTAAAGGTACTACATGATCACCTTCTTTAAAGTCTTCCACGTATTTTCCAACCTTTATAACTTTTCCTACAGCTTCCGATCCTGGAACCGCTGGGAAGATTTTTTTTACTGGATATTTGCCTTGTATTATATTAATATCCACAGGATTGACAGGCGACGAGAGGACTTCTACTAGTACTTCATCTGACGATGGTTCTGGCACTGTCACCGTTACTTTTTTCACTACATCAACTGGATTACCGTATTCACTAAAAATTAACTTAGATGCAAAACTTCTATGTGTAATAAAATTATTTGTTACAACCGTTATAGTGCTAGCTGTTCTGTACAACATTTTGTTTATTACTAAATATACCTAACTTTCTTTAAATAAAATGAAGGTCATGAACAAATAAATTTTATAAGTAGATAAGATTTGTAAACAATACAAACATTATCATAACGACTTGTTTATCCAGTTTTTGTTCTGTTTGACTATATACGAGAGTAATGTGAAGTTTTCAGAAAGAGATTAAATGGTGTTTCGCATTTTATTTCACAAAATCTTATATGTAATATCGGTTATTTAACCTTCTACGAGTCCCTACATCAAACAGAACAACAACAATAAAAAACTACTTTTGTAACGGAATATACAGGGTATTTCAATAAAAGGTAACCCTGTCTCTAGGGTAGGTAAAAAACTGAAAAATAATTGGGGTTTGTTAGTAAAAAATGTTTGTAACGCCATTCGTTTTGAAGATATGGGGCGTTGAAGAAAAAAAATTTACACATTTTTTACGATTTTGCCGAAACTACTAGCAACATTGTAATCAAATTTTATACGAGTATGTTTTGGAAGCTGATACATCCCATGAATTTGTTTTTATATCTGATTCTCATAGAGGGCGCTAGTTTTACGGATCGTACTAAATATTAGTCAATATAACTTTTTTATGAGTATAATTATTAATCCAAATTTCAAGCAAACTTAAATATCATTCAGTTTTACACGAAAAAGGTACTCTTGGTAACACTCGATACTGTGTACCGTTTTCGGAATATTTTGATTTGAAAATTCTGAAGTAATAATTGATGCTGGTAGTAATGATAAAGTTCTAATAGGCATAAATCTATTTTCTCCAAGTGTGCCATGTAAATCTGACATTTTTGATTGTTATGACGATAAATCAACAATAATTAGAGTTTTGAAACCTTGTTATTTATAAAATCAAATCAAAATGTACTCAAATATTGAATACACTGACATGTCATTAACCTTAGGCGAATGTTTAGGATGTTCTAGTGCAGTTGTGACACGTTATGCAGAAAAGTTTTCTAGAAGAAACTTACCAAGTAAAAAAACATTTAGAGCCATTGAACGACGTTGTCGAGAAACTGGGAATGTAAGAACAAATAAAATAAATTCTGGTAGACCAAGAACAACAAGAACAATTAATAAAGAAAATAATATTTTAAATTTACTTGATCAAGATCCAACAGTTAGCGTAAGGAATATAGCAAGACAAACAAATACTTCTTCTTCAAGTACTTGGCGGATACTGAAAGAACAGTAATTACATTCTTATCATTACAGACAAGTCCAAGAGCTCTTGCCAGATGATCTACCGGTTAGAGTGGATTTTTGTGAAACATTGCAATAAAGGACAGCCCACAATCCAAATTTTTTAAAATGCATTCTTTTTACGGACGAGGCCACCTTTAAGCGACAAGGTATGTTTAACTCCTATAATGCATACTACTGGTGTGATGAGAATCCACGAGTCAAAAGGGTATCACATTACCAACACTCATTTAAAGTTAATGTTTGGGCAGCAACTTTAGGTAACAAATTAATAGGTTATCATATTCTACCTGGAAACTTAAATGGTGTGTAAATGTGTATCTTGATTTTTTAAATAATTCCTTATTCGAGATATTAGAAGATTTAACGCTAAATGAGCGAAGATCTTTATTTTTTATGCACGATGGAGCTCCACCACACTTTGATAGAAGGTGTCGTAATTGGTTGAGTAATCATTTTCTGAATCGATGAATTGGTAGAGGTGCAGAAGCTCCGATTCATTGGCCTCCTCGGTTATGCAATTTTAACCCTTTGGACTACGCAGCTTGGTCGTATATTAAGGAAAAAGTCTATGCTACAGAGGTAAATTCACTTCAAAAATTGTAAGAAAGAATTCAACGTAAATTTAATGACATCATAGCTGATCCCCTACCGTTTAGAAGGTTAATGGAATTTTTAGAAAAAAGAATAGACTTGTGTATTCGCGAAAACGGAGGGCATTTTGAACACTTACTCTAATTGAATTTTATTTTAAGATCTTAGCCAATAATTTAATTTTCTTCTTGTGTGTTTTGTTTAATTACTAACTATTTTATACCAGCATCAATTATTACTTCATAATTTTCAAATAAAAATATTCCGAAAACGGTACACAGTATCGAGTTTTACCAAGAGTACCTTTTTCGTGTAAAATTGAATGATGTTTAAGATTACTTGAAATGTTGATTAATAATTATACTCTTAAAAAAGTTATATTGACTAATACTTTGTACGATCCTTGTAACTAGCGCCCTCTATGAGAATCAGATATAAAAATAAATTAATACGATGTATCAGTTTTCAAAACATATTCGTATAAAATTTCATTACGATGTTGCCAGTAGTTTCGGCTAAATCGTAAAAAATGCGTAATTTTTTTTTCTTTACCGCCCTGTATCTTGAAAACGGATGGCGCTACAAAAATTTTTTACTAAGCAATCCCCAACTATTTTTCAGTTTTTTACCTACATTAGAGATGGGGTTACCTTTTTTTGAAACACCCTGTATAAACCTATCTTTATGTTTTAGAGTAATTAAAATAACGACTTTTAGAAAATGAATAGGATTTTGATTTACACGCACACAGTCGTAACTCCGTCCTCAAGAGGCATGTCCGTCTATAGAAAATTGGGTATGTCGTGACGTATGCACCGAAACCATAAATGAGAAGAATTGCCTTCATTAGCTGAGTTTGTCCGGGACTCAAACAGTATCGTCCTGGGAATCCCACCGTCACTCCTGGACTTTCTTTACTATGCACTAGTGACTGCAATGGTTGAAACGTCCACTTACTTCAAAGAATCGCTAACTACCTAATGATGAAAACCAAGGGAAACTGATTTGAAATTCAGCAAACTGTATATACATTTAGAAGTCGTTGTTATTATGTAATATATTGTTTATATAGTATAATAAACAGCATCATACAACCAGTAATTACATACGCATCTCTTGCATGGGAACACACAAGTTACAGCAAAAAAATAGTTTCAAGCAGCATATTATAACAACTGCCTTAGAGAAGCTGCAAACTTGCCAGGTACGTCGCTGAATGGTTCCTATTCAGAGATATGAAACAAATAAGTGTACTAGATATGATGAAGAAAAAATCCAGAACAAAATTCGCTAAGTTAAAAGACTAATCAAGCCAGGTCCTGTGGGGGATATTAAGGTATGATGGTGTACCATAGATAGAAATTACGAGAAGGACCCAAAAAAGCAAACATTAGTATTCATATATAAATTCTATATAATCATAGCTCTATCAAAAGGAAGGAAATCACGCTCTACCTTTGGCATAGCAGTGTATTTCCTACAAACAAAAGGTGCAAGCCACAAAAAAAATACCAACAAAACCCAAATAAAATCAGCAAGAGGGACCCAACATTCTCGATGTATAGAAGTCACTTGAAACTGGGAGTAGCTAAGAGCGCGGACAGGCCCAAGCAAGCAATACAGATCGATGATTGTGCTATCGGGAGAAAAGTGGATGGTCTAGAGCATTGGAGCGGGGTGGGAGTAATTCCTATTTCCAAGAATTAATCTACCTCGCTTCAATGAATTTTATCACCTAATGTCATTACTTGTGCAAGGGTTGTGCAAATCTCTCAGGCTTTTTACTTGCTTGCTACTTATTTTGCGCCATAGTTCTCATCTGACGTTGGTAAAGCTTTGTTAGAATGTCGTTTTGAAATAACAGTATACAAGTCATAGAGTTTGAAGTTTCAGTCAGGTTTGAGGAGTCGTTGACCAATAAGAGCTCCTTAGCTTCCACATAGGACTATAGTGAGAGCCGGCGAACTTGTGGCTTGGCAAGAGTTTTGTGCAATAAGGATTTGCACAACTAACACATGCCGATCCCATGCATTCTTTCGCTGGTGCAGTGATATGTGTTGGCAGGTATTCTGGCAGGTAGACGCACGGAATTAGTGGTTATTGACGGAACTTCTAAAAGGGACAAAGGTTATATCACAAGGATTTTAGAACCTCATATAGAGATTATCGCGAGGTGCTGATGAGTGAAAATTGTGTATTTATGGATGATAACGCCTGCCTACATAAAACACAAGAGGTTAATGACTACCTTGAGACAGAAGGTATTCACCGTTTATAGTAGACTGCGATGTCCCAGATATAAAACCCTATTGAGCACGCATGAGATGTGCCTTTAGAACTGATCATGATCGAAGAAACCTCCCCTAATAGCCACATGTACGTCCAGTGGGCGTCCATAGTACGTCCACTCACAGACTTTTAGGGACGTCCCTTGAACGTCCGCTTTGGTAATATTTACGTCGTTTTCGTCCTATATTGGTCCGAATGTCGCTGCGCCAAACGTCCTATGGACGTTCATTTTTACGTCCCCAGCGGAACGTAAAATAGACGTACCGGGACGTTAATTGGACCTTAATCGGACGTCCATAATACGTCCAGAGGACTTACTTGACGGACTTTTATGATGTTTTCGGACATCTATTTTAGCGCTGAGGATGTAAATTAGACGTCAACTCCATTGTATAAAGTACTTAAAGTGAAGTCATCCTGTGCATATTAAGAATGTATTTTGGAAAATAAAACGTAAATGTTTAAAGAAACTTACATTTATTATTACATTTATTTATTATTAACAAACAGGACAAATCCACTGTCAAAATTATGCAAAAATGTAACATTATAGCAATATAAAATAATTTTGTGTAATAAAAAACATAAATGTTTAAAGGAACTAACATTTATTATTGCATAATATTATATTTATTTATTAATAACAAATGGAAACAAATTCACTGTCAAAATTATACAAACATGCAACATTATAGAAATATAGACAAAATTTACAGATAAAAATAAATTATACATAAATAAAATAAATAAGTACACATTTATAATAAGTTTCATTTAGCATTTAAGTGCTTCAAATAGTACCTAAAGCTATTGATATAAAAGTTTTAGACCATCTCTATGTGTGAAAATAATTAGTTCTGCGGTATGGAACATGGAAATGTAAATTC